AGAACCTTTGTCAAAATACTTTTTGATTTACCCTTGTAAAGCCCGTATCTAGAATAGAAACTGATACAGAGCTTCAAGTTCATTGATGGCTACAAGAAGTGGGAAAGAGGGACTCCTTGCTTAGGGGGCACTGGGTTTCTGTTGATGGTGGCAGAAGAATTTTGAAACAGTGATGATAGTTGCACAGTATGATGAACATGATCACTGTCACTGGACAGTACTTTTAAAAATTGGTGAATTGGTAATTTTTATTATATTTTTATCACAATGAAACAACTAAAAATATATAGGAAACTCAATATCTATGTTTATGATTCTTAAACACACAATATTACCAAATGATATTTTAGATCTTCTAATGAAATAAACACATACACACAAAATGAAATTAATACATGACTGCAGATTTTGAGAGCTGGGACCTTTAGATATAGATTTCTTGTAAAGCACTGCACACATCACTTATTTATGACTTAAAAATATAAACATTTGGCTTAAAATGCAATTGCTTTTCCCAGGTGCTAAGGTCAAAGACCAGTTGAAAATGTGCCCTTCAATTTATTCTGAACATTTTACTAAATTACTACAGAATAAGTAGATTCAAAGAGCAAGTTATTTGTGAACAGTCTAGCACAGATGACAGTAATAAAGGTAATCACAAAACCCAAAAAGCTCAAACTGGTATCCCCCAGGCAGTAAACAAATTTAAGTAATTTTCCACATACCAAAGGCAGAATTCACATTTTGACTTAATTTTAACACATTTTTTTAAAGAACTTTTTAATGATGTGGACAGCTACTACTTCAGATAATTGTAAATAACTGCCCATTCCCATTGTCTTATTTTGGAAAGTAAAGAGCCAAATAGCATTATATTTATATGAACTGTAAAATTTTCTTAAAGACAGATAGAGAGGGGAGAAACAAAGGGTTAAGATGACCACATTTGTATCCAGCCCACATCTACTTTTAAGAAACATCAGAGGTGCTTTGGGAAAAAGAATGACATCAGATAACAATTGACGCTTTTATTAATGGAAACTCCACTTACTGTCGCTTCATTGCACACTGTACACTTAACCACATGCTGGTGAAGCTTGCCATCCAGATTGATGAGAGATTGGCACACACGGCAGTTTATTACTGGAATACCACTGGCATCTGGGCTGGCAATGGCTGTATATGGAGGTGGGAGTTCCGCTGAAAAGATATTAGTTACTTAGTCAGACTCTCAGAGATAGTCTGGCGGCTTATAGTAGGGAGCAGATAAGGAATAGAAGTAAAGTAAAACCATCAAAAATTTCCCATGCTCTTTTCTTTCTTTTAATTAGCCAAATTATCCAAGTTTTATAGCACTACACACACTTGAGACTGTCTTGTAATAGTACTAAAACAATTTAGTTTAAAAAATATTTTATTGCGCTTTTAGTGAAAGTTTACACAGTCGTTTAGGTTCCCATTCAACAGTTTCTACTCAAGTTGTGCAGTGGCTTGGTAACATTCTTCACAAAAA